CTTTGGACAGAGCCAGGAAGGCTGTTTAACTCTGACCCGTCTGAGCTGACTGTCCCAGCTTTGCTTTATAGTTAGCATACAGCTATAAGAGCAGCTTCAGTCTCCTCATGGAAATCTTACCAAGAAAGCAAATAAGTGGATTTCCAAAAACGTTAAACTATCCTTAAGACCCATTGGCCATAATTTAGTGCATAAATCTCTTTTTTCCAAGTTAATTGAAGCTTCAACTATGGTCAGAAAATTTTGAAGGTCAGCTTTTGCAGACAGTTGGTAGTTATTCTAAAATTAAAGTGTTTTGTTTGGCCGCTGCAGTGCAGCTATCACGATGATAAATATCCTTCAGGCATTTCATGTCTTGTGTTGGTCTGTAAAGCTTCTTTATGAAACCAGTCACTGTAATGTTTTAAAGGGGCCTCTTCCCAGGTGCTCTGAGGGCTCTGTGGAGAACACCTCCCCCCTTGACCTCTGTTTACACTTCCTGTGGGTGTCAGGGCTTGTCCATAAAGCGCTGCTCGCAGGGTTCTGCTGCATTGAAAGGGAACCGAGAAAGTGGACGAGCACCCTGGCGCTGTGGGCTGAATGCACTGCTACTCCTATTAGGACAGGCCATTTCCTCTCTTCACATTCTTTGTTTGCTTATATTACTGCCACACTTCCTCAACCCCCCACACTCACCCCCCAGACCTTTTATAGGAAAATGATGACGAGCCTGTATATTCAACTTGACTGTTTCTTTCAGCCTCTGTCGGGTTTGTGATGGAGATTAAAGGATGTTTTCAGTCAGAAACAGATTGAAAGTGTTGCCTGTTTGACTGTAACCCTGTTTTGGATCGTCTGTTTCTTAACACAGGAGAGAAAATGTGTTAGTACTAGTACATTCACAGTTTATAGGAAAGGTTTGTGGATGAACTCAGTTTCACTCTCTTCCACTTTTTGTTTTGGTCTCTTTCTTGACAATAATAATTTAGATGTTATTGCTTAAGACTTTTCTGAATATTAATATTAAATAACTCTTTTTCTAAACATTGTAGCAAATGGGCTTCAGTAACAATGAGCAAAAGAGCTAATCTTTTATAAATGCAGTATATTTTAATTCAATACAGACCTGATTTGTTGATACTGTTGATACTTGGTGTGTTGTTGCTGCTGTCCTGGTGTCACTGTGATTTTACTGTAAAAACACCTGCTGACAGCAGCAGTGAAACTAAAAGCTAGGAATACACAGTATGTTCCCATGTTGTGGCATGGATTTAATAGAGGAATATAAATATAATATGCTGCTTCTGGAGAATGCATATTTGGGCTGTAATAACATTCTTCTGGGTTATGTGTTGCATTCAAGGACCTGTTTGCACAGATATGCTGTTTGTGTCCCAGTGAGCGTCTGTCCTGGCTTCATTCTGGTCACCTACTGACAAGAAAATGCAACTAGAAAGTGACTGAGATTGTTGTTTGTTTTTCTCTCTCTCTGCCTTTCACAAGGGACTTATATTCAGTAAATCTGGCTTTGAAACAGGGCAATAAAACTTAAAAGCATCAGAAAACAACTACTGGAGTTAGCTGTTGTTTTGTGGTAGCCCTTGTATTGACAGACCAGTTATTTAGTTTCATTCCTATATTTTAGTTTTGGTGGTGGGGTGGGTAGTTGTTTACATTTGGATTGAAAATCTGTTTAAACTGAATTTTGCCTTGTTTTGTGTGTATGGTGTGTGTGTGCGCTGTGTTTTCTGTAGTGTAGAGGCCTGTGTGTCTGCAGGCGCTTGTCTAGTGACACAGAGCTTTACAGTTGTCCCTTGTAACGTTGTGCTGAGCAGAAGACAATCAGAGTCAGGAGTGACTATCTATCTACACTCCAGAAGAAGAAATCACTAGGCGAGCTAGAAGCACCAAACTTCAATATTACTACTTGGCAAATCAGCTACAGTATTTAGTCAAATGGATTCAGAAGGACAGTTACAACAGTGCATGGATAGAATTACTCCAAAAATGACTCCAAAGATAACTCAAATAACTCAGTTGCAGACCTCCCTTTTCTACCAAACTCTACTAAGAAAATGAATTTCTGTAAGAACATCACAATCGTCTCAACTCTGACAGCCTGGTGAAAGTAAACAAAATCACTAAGTCATCACTTGCACCATGTAGATACACTCCAATTTGGCACAACCCTGATTTCCAACTGCATAATAACCCTATTTCCCAACATGGCAACACAAAGGAATCACTCACTTACACCACCTATTTGAAAATAACCAGTTCATATCATTTAATACATTGATCCAGAAGTACAGAGTTCAGAGAGAACAGTTCCTCCAGTACGATCAACTAAAATCCATAATTAAGTCAAAGATTAGTGTAACCAGTAACCCACTACAACCCTCCAAATTAATTGAAGAGATTATGAAAATTTCAGATTCCAAAAAAATAATATCCAAGCTACATAAACTCATATCAAATACAGATTCAACATTAACAATACCAAAACTCAAATAGGAAAACGATTTAACTGTCCCTCTCAACTCCGACTTCTGGACATAAATTTACATCTTTTCTATGACCAGCAATGTAAACTTACAACTTATACAATACAAGACCATTTATAGGACCCATATTACACAAAGTAAAATGTTCAAAATGGGTTTTTCCGACACCGATATCTGCTCACAATGCACCCAAATTGCACCAACATCTATTTTCACGCTACTTGGACCTGCCAACCAGTTCATTCCCTCTGGATAGCAGTGACAGAGAAACTCTCCACCATCTTGGGCTGTAGAATCCCTCCTTCTCCATCACTTTGCTTCCTCGGTAATATCAGAAATCAACCACCTACCAATTAAATACAAAAACCCACTCCTCATTTCTCTAGCTATTGCCAAGAAAACAATCTTTCAAAAGTGGAAATCAAAAAAATCACTACACATAAACCACTTGACCAACCTTCTGACAGAATACATCACAGAGAAAATGGCATCCACTCACAAGAATAGTTTATCTGCTTTTTATGACACATGGAACCCATTTCTAACACATTTCAACTTGAACCAAACACCTAGGGCTGAGGCCACGCACATTCCCAACCTCTAAAAATGTAACAAGCTGATTTTATTAGTAGTACTGTTATCATCATTGTTATTAGTAATTCTTTATTTATTTATTTGTTTTCCCTCCTTTTCCCTTTCTTGTGTTTCATAGACTGAATAAGTTGGAAATACCCACACTTCACACACTACAATCTTGTAAAAGACTCTATATCCTTTTGTCATGTATCTGTTGTCTTGTCTCCCATGTTTGGTCCTGTTTTGTTAATGTGTTACTTTGTTTCAATAAAAAAAAA